ATCGGGTGGAGAGGGAGGTGGGAGGGGGGACCGGGATGGGGAATACATGTAAATCCATGGCTAATTCATTTCAATATATGACAAAAACCACTGCAATGTTGTAAAGTAATTACCCTCCAACTAATAAAAATAAATGGATAAAAAAATAGATGCAACTAAGACTCAATGCAGCCGAAAATAAATAAATAAATAAAATTTGTTTAAAAAAATAAATAAAAATAAAAAATAAAAAATAAAATGGGAAGACCGAGAGGGACCGGGTGGAGAGGGAGGTGGGAGGGGGGACCGGGATGGGGAATACATGTAAATCCATGGCTAATTCATTTCAATGTATGACAAAAGCCACTGCAATGTTGTAAAGTAATTAGCCTCCAACTAATAAAAATAAATGAAAGGAATAAAAAATAAAAAAAATAGATTTATTTATTTATTTTTGGCTGTGCTGGGACTTGTTGTTGGGAGAGGGATTTCTCTAGTTGCAATGAGCAGGGACTACTATCTAGTTGCAATGCACAGGATTCTCATTACCGTGGCTTCTCTTGTTGCACTCTTGTTGCAGAGCACGGATTCTAGGGCACATGTGCTTCAGTAGTTTTGGCTCATAGGCTCTAAAACACAGGTTCAATTTCTGTGGCATAAGAGCTAAGTTGTCTTGAGGCATGTGGAATCTTCCCAGATCAGGGATTGAATGTGCGTCCCCTGCATTGGAAGGTGGATTCTTAATCATTGAACCACAAAGGAAGTCCTCCTATTAATATTGTTATCCTAAGTTGATAGCTTGATACATCTGGAAACTTATCAACTAAGTTCTCTTCAAATACTACTTAACCACTGTTCACTTTCCTTCTCTATGGGGCTCACATTAACCATGTGTTAGGTTACTCACCTAACCATGTGTTAGGTGATACTCATTGTATCACCTTTAATTATCTCTTTTTTTGGGGGAGAGTATTCTCCATATTATATCTCTCCAGGTTCCATCTTGGATCTTTTCATAAGACTTACCTTTCATTTTTTTAATTCTTCCTTTAGGGAGGCAGATCACCTTTGACCCTTGAACCATCACACCAGGGTAGATGTCAGGGTAGGGTTTATTGTACTCATAGAGCAGAGCAGAGACGTGAAACTTGGGGATAAAAAGCCACTTGTTCCAGGTCACCTAACTTGAACCAAGTAGAACAGAGTCTAACATCACAGACTACACTCTAGTTCCAGACCCTTTCCTTGGTGCCTGTTTTCTTGTCTGTGACTACTCCCTACCTCTCATTTCCCGAAAAGTGGATGGTGAAGTCTTTCAGCCATTTTTTTAGCTCTATGATACATTTATGTTTAGATTATAAAGAATGATGTTTCTTCATTAGTCATGATATTTACTCAGGACTACTTCTGATACTGGGACCACTGATATATTGTTGTCAATTTTAGAGCACACTGATAAAGTGAACTCTTTACAAAGAAGAGCACGAAGCTGGAGTATTTACCGAAGGCAATACACCTATTGGTCTGAACAGGTCACTTCCCAGCAGCAGGAAGACAGAGATTCAAAAGAAAGTGATGCTCATATGGACATCCAAGCAAGATAGTAAGTGACCAGTCACCATGGCTGACATGTACCAACAATTGAACAACAAAGCCTTGCAGTTAAATATGTCATTTTTCTCCCCAGCTTGCCAGAGTGAAAAATGATTATGTTAATGTTTGAGCAATATTTATTTTAACTCTGGTATCATTTGGGAAAATGTAGAGAAGACTTTCCGAGCCTATATGGACCACTTTTTTTCTCTCCACTTCCCCACAGTGCTCCCTATGCCATTCCATCCCATCACTGGAGAAGTAGTTTTCAGGAAGAGACCAAATGCATGTTAACATGGAGACCAAGCAAAAGCCTCTGGAGAGAAGAATGAAAACAAATAGTCAGGATGAGACCTTGGGGAGCTGGTTCAAGATTATTGTGAGTATCCTGGCCAAATGAACCTAATATGTAGAAGATGACAGAGTCATGTTGGATTTGTGTAGAGATGCTGAGAATTTTTCTGGGGCAGTGGAGTTGGTAATCTGTCTTGTTATTACTAGGAGGTATCTTCTTAGATCATCTAAGGGCAGGTTCAGAGAAGCAGTATGAAGGAAAGAAACTGACTGCAAGGAGGAGCACGGGAGAGGTTGACTAAAAGCAAAGGAGGAAACCTACTGCCATGGAGATGGAGCACTTCACAACAGATCACGTAGTTTGGTTTGAGCTGGATGTGGGAGGAGGTTGAGTCTCTGGGGTCCGTGTCAGAGTGATAGGGCAGGTGTACCTCATGTGGATCTCCTGGAACTTTATAAAAGGAAGTACATGTGAAACATATTAAATCAGTTTTTTTCAGGAAGAGTATTTGAATGCAAAGAAAGTATATATAGAAAATCCTTGTCTCATACCAAAGTTAGTAATAACAGATACTGTCTTATCTTAAGAAATTATTTAAAACCTGAAAAATGTCTCTAAAGCAAGACACAGTTGGGTCTTACCTTAATCTTGGATTCCATTGTATCCATTCTCTTTCCCATTTGTTCTCTGATTCCTAGATTCCCTTTGGTATAAAATATGATGAGATGTGGCTGTTGAATTTGATTCAGAAGAAGTGCAGTGTCCCCTTCACTGCAGTCGAAGTAAGACAGGACATGGAGATGATGAGACGAAATGGGGTAGATTGCAGGCCCAGAGAAATGGCACTGGTCTCATATTCTGTTTCTCCTGTCACTCTCCCTACAGTTTCACTATGAGAAAATGCAGGCCCAGTTCTTTGTAGAGAATGTCAACATTGCATTGAAGAATATCAATGGCAAGATTTTCGAGGTTAATGAAAAGGTGTGTGTCAGGGGCGTGATCAGGCCTGAATAGGAACAAGAGGGCAGGGGAGGGGACATGGTCTTGCTTGATCCCATGCACAGATTTCCTGGAGCTTACCCAGCCCCTCTTGTGTTCTCTACAGATACTTAACTTGGTTGAGCCCTGTGACGCACCCCAGTCAGTGCAGAAGGCACTGACGTCTGAAAAGGTGGAGCAGATAAAGGTAATGCAGACTCAACACAAGCAGTGCCCTCACAGCCAGACCCACCTCTTCCCCCCACTCACCCTCAGACTCAAGCTTGCTGAACCCCATACCTAACTCTGAAGCTCACCATGAACGAACCATACAATGCCTGCCAGCAATCTCTTGACATCCAGAGACTCCGTTTTGGTCCTGGTATGGCTACAGTAGTAATTGTAGAGCAGGTGAGGGTAGAGGGTCTGTCTGGGTAGAGCACTCGGAGATGATATCATGGGGAGGGGTTGGTGCTGAAAGTACACCAGCTGGGACCCTCTCAGCCTGTGTTTCCCTCCTTCTGGTTTCCTGGAGACTTGATGATGTGTGATATTGGAACGACATGGAACCGTAGAAATAGCATGGCTGCTTCCCTGCACATCTATCCAGGGATCAGGCCCATGGTGAGAACCTAGGCCCAATGTTGGGAGACATCGGGTAGAAGAGGCAGATATGTCTCAGGTATTCCCTTTGGGGTCCTCACTATCTTTCCTCATCATAGCTTTCATCTTTGTACTTGAGCAACAAGAAACCCTACTTGGTGCATAGCCTGTCCACCATTATGGAGATTGCTTCCACCACCAAGAACTTGAATCCCTCTGACACTGAGGTGAGGTGGGGCACCCAGATCCTCCTTTGAAGAAACATGTGAGGGCTCATGGGGTGACAGATGGACGGAAGTGGATTTGTAGGGGAATGAAGGGTGTGGGTGCAGAGCTATCTGGTCCATGTGGGTGTTCCCTATAATTCCAGGTGAAGATTGCAGGGGAGATGGACAAGGGTCATCAGCTGGAACCAGAAGGGATGTGTGCAGACAGAAATGCTGTGTGCACCACCTTCCATGATAAGTCAACCAACATGAGGTCTTCCTCTGCCTTGTGTCTACACCCCTGTCTCTCTCATCTCTCCCCTCCTCCCTCCACTCCTTTTCTGTCTTTATTCCCCTCCCTATCTCCTGAGCCCCATCTCAATCACCTCCCTGCCATAGCACCTGTTCATCCCTGAGGTGTGTCTTGACTTGACAGCATGCTGGACTCCAAGTGAGGTAGCAAAGCCCCAGGCTCCCATCTTCCCATATCTTCTTTTCTCTACAGCCTTCACTGGGCCCTGGAGGAAGGAAGGAAGGGATGGAGGGGAATAAGGCCTGCAGACTGGATTTGAAGTGCTGTTCCCTGTGGCACTGCAGAAGGGAGTCAGAACAGTCTGGCTGGGAGCTACCCAGGGGAAAGGAGATGGAGGAGGGGGTTCAAGGAAGGGGTGGAGAGGACAGTCTCCCTCTTGGTCAGTCCACAGCGTGGTGACCAGGGCCCTTGAACGCTAGGATACTGGGGTTTGAGGGTGCTGTGATTACTGTAAATGACTTGTTACTATGAGGAGGGTCACGTCCATAGTTTTACTGACATTTTTCTTTTGTTTATTTTGGCAGCACCCTCATGGAGTTGTTCCCCAGGTTACTAAGCTTGGCAAGTGCATTCCTTGATCAGACTCCTCTAACTAGCACTGACAGTGCCCTCAAACTACTTGGAAACCCATTAGGACCTGTCCAAGTTCCATTTTTTAGCCTGACCCTTAAATGTCCTTTGGGAGGAGGGTGTACCATTCTCTGAGGGAACCTGAAAAGGCTCTGGATCTTCAGCCATGTTCTCCACAGGCTTCGGGGGCCCATGGTGATGACAGAACATGTAGTCCTGCCTCTGGCATTTCCAGGGACACTTTCTTCCCTGACCTCTGACCCACACCCCATCCTGGGCCCATCCTTTTCCTTGATCATCCAACACCACATCCTGGACTGCACCACTGACTTCCTCTTCCCTTCCCTAGGATGGCCAGGAGACACTCTCAGGATCTAAGTGTGCTATTGAAGTACCCAAGTGCTTACCAATGTGCAAGGTGAGCACAGAGGATCCAGCAGTGTTCTAGGTGGTGCAAGAGGGTGTGTCAGCCCTTGTCCTGAGGACTGTTTTAATTCCAGAGAAGTTTCTTTGGATCTGATCAGGTGAACAGTCAAATCCTGCAATTCCTGCGGGAATCTGAACAAGGGGAGGGCCAGGACAGGGGAGGCCACCCAAGCTCAGGTCTGATCATGGGAGTTTTCAAGTCTTCTTTGAGCTTCAGACCACAGAGAGAGACTCTCCTCACTGCTTCCCTCAGTTATTTCTTAATTCATGACTATGGAGATCGCCAGGGACTGCTGGATTTTTATCACGAGGAGGCCTGCTTCTTCCTGATCATACCATCCCACCCTAAGGACCCAGACCTGTGAGTATCACAGCCCAGACCCTTCCCCAAAGCCATATGGTTCCCCAGCAGATGCAGGCCAGTTCCTGCTGACACCTCTGCTGGCTGTACACCTATGCACCACCCAAGTTTTCTCTGTATCTCCTAGAAGCAGCGTGTGCCCGTAATTCAAGAACAAGAATACAGAGAAGCTCAAGGACCCCAGTGAGTGTGTGGTGGGAAAGCTAGGTGGTAAGGGCAGTGAGGGGGCCAATCATAGGGTCCAGGTCATGGCTGCCCTGACCTTCCCTTTCTTCCTCTCCCCCACAGACCTGCATGTCCAGCTGCTGAAACACACAAAACATGACATTGTGTGCGCCCTCTGTGTGTTGCCCAAAACTCAGCATAACTTCAGCTCCTTCATGGTGGACATGTGTTTCCAGACGGTGAGCACCTGCTCCTCCCTTGGTGGTGAGGGGCAGGAAGGCGCAGGTGGGAAAGAGGATGAGGGGTGACTGAGTACCTGGTCTCTTTCCTATCAGGAAACGATGTTCTGCTTCTCTGTCAGTGGGGTGTTCAAGGAAGGTGAGTATGTGTAGCCCGCTTCCCCCAGATGCTGCACTGCTCTCTCACTTGGTCAGGCTCCCTCCCACCAGAACTCTTCCTTCCAGATTCCCCCCATCCCCTCCCCACCCCCCGCCAGCCCTCAATCTTCCCACAGACAACCCAGGTCTTAACTGCGTCCATGTCTGCCCTGCCCACCCTGGGCATTAGGGACACAGGCTGTGGAGTTTGGTGGCTGCCATACCAGATCCTTACACTGAGAACCTGGGCTACTACTTAACCTCACAGTTTCCTCATAATATCCATCTCTTCAGCAACGGAGAAAAATGCATACCATGAGTTTGTGAAGTGGTTGTCATGGGGACATTCACTGGGAGCAGACATCTCCTACAGTTGCCCTCCCCATTCCTGACACCCAGGCTCCCCAAGTGAACAGCTGTCCCCTCAGCATGAGTGTCAAGTCAGACCCTGACTCGGGAATAATGTGGGAGCCTGTAAACACATGGGGCTCTAAGGGGTACTCTTGCTTATTGTTTGTTGTTGAAGTGGAAGGAAGTTCTCAGGGCTGTGTGCGTGCCTTCACCTGGACCTTCATCACTACTCCCATCAGCTCTTCCAGGTGAGAGCCATGTTGTGGGCAGGATGGCCCATCCAGCCTGGGCTCAACTCAGGGCCCTGGGCATGTGGTGATGCAGATCTTAGGCTGACTCAATATTGTGGAAAGCCAGCAGGGAGATCCAAGGACCAGTCTAGCCTAGTGGTTAGGAAGAGCATGGGCTCTGGAATCAGCACGTGGGTTCTCTCCTTGACCCAATGCTCACTCTCTGTGTGACCTTGGTCAAGTCACATGATCTGTCTGTGACTCTGTCTTCTTCTGAAAATGGGGATCAGACTGTACACCCTGTACTGGGTTACTGTTCAGGGTAAATGTGAAGCTGTCCCTGGGTTGGGGATCAGCTTATTCATTGAGTGAAGCTGATAGAAAATCTCTCTGAAGGTGAGCTCTCTGCGAGTGGCAGAGGAACCAGTCAAGGAGCCTGGGTACAGACACAGGAGGGTATGGAAGGGATCCGGTTGCTGAGTGTTAGTGTTAGCAGTCAGGATTGGGGTGCAGGTGGTCCATCCATAAATTGTCCACATGTGCATTTTTCCTCCAGTCTTTGTATAGTGAATGACGAGCTGTTTGTGAGGGAAGCCAGTCCCAGTGAAGCTCAGCGTCTGCATTCTCCATCCCAGTGCCTGCACTGTCGACCACTTTCATGTTCCACCTCTCCGCTGAGTAGCATGAAATGGTGTGGGCTTTCTCCTCCCAGTGTGGAATCACCTCTAATAGTCTCAGAAGTGACTGCTGGGTTTGCATGGAGTTGGGAGGGAACTGGGAGGAGTGGACGAATAATTAATGGGAACTTGAAGGTAAATTGTTTTCCTTGTTTATTTCAGTTATTTTAACCCGGAACATTTCATTCTTAGTACATAGTAAGCTTCTAGTTGTTTTGAGCAGGCTTGAATCATTTTTGTGAGTTTGGTGAATCCTGCACTTGTCTGTACAGACAGTTGGGTTTTCAGGCACTTTTATCTTGATAACACTGTGCCTGAGGTTCATTCCACTCTTCATGTCACAGTAGATGTCCAGTGGGGAGCAGGGAAAATCATTGTTCCACTATATGCCACCCAAAGATAACTCTTTAATGTTTTCATCTTCATTATGTCTTCCTTGAAGTTTCCTTATGTAGGTATATACATATTTGTGTGTGTGTGTGTGTGTGTGTATATTTGTGTATTTATTTGTGTATTTATCTACAGAAAATGAGATCTCATTGCGAGAGAGAAAAGGAAACCAGAGACAGAAATGAAGAGAAAGAGAGGCATGTGGTTGAATGGGGAAATGAAGTCCAAGGATTGATTACTTAATCTTCAATGCCTTGAAACTTGAGCAAGATTAAAAGTTAATGTGAAGGAGACATCCCATCTCATTTTTTTACCCTTAAATTTGCCCATTTTGTTTCTTAACCTCTTATTTCTACTGCGGAGTAAAGAGCTATTTCAAATGGAATAGTGTAAATTTTAAGCCCAATATATATTAGTGAATGAAAGAATGGACCATTGTATTTCAATGAAATGGTAGTACTTTTAGTTTTTTGTCCCACATGGAGACAGCAGATATTGGAAATTCTGGTGTGACATGGCTGGATGTTGCATGATCTGATCCCCCCTCTGCAGTGTTGAATGAGAGACAGGTCCAGAATGTTCCTATCAATGTATTAACATAAGGAGCAGTCCAGGAGCAGCAGTTAGGCAACACCACAGCTTTCTTCCCTGTTGCCATCTCTCACTGAAATCACCAGGTAAGTCAAAGGCAAGCCTGTCTTCCCAGCGTAGGGACTGGATCAGAATTTGCTCACAGGTATAATGTTGGGTGCCTCTTACGATCTTCTGAGTCTCCCAAGAGACTAGAGTTCCTTCTCTCTTTAGAACTTTGAACTCCAGCCATATCAGAGAGACATTGCTCCCTTTCTAATGATATCTACTTTCTCATTAGGAGAACCATGAGGAATGACCAGTGCCTGCCTTAGCCCCAGGCTTTCTCACTCACTCCTCAGGACAGCTCTGTGTTAGAGATGAGTCCCATTTCACAGATGACAGAGGTCCTCCTCTTATAGCTTCTATCACCTGTCCAGATAAGCAGGAACTTGGGGTGAGGTTCTGTCCCTTGCCTTCTCTGGAGGACAGTAGAACAGCCTCCCTTTTAGACTGTGGGCTGGAGCAATGGTTACTTTGCTCTCCCATGATATAACAGGCTCAAGGGGTACTCCTCAAAAGCCCCTATTGATGAATATAGTACTGCACATACATGTGCACATGCATTCATTACCTAAGAAAAGAATTCATTATGTTCAGTTTCATGAGGAGATGAATTAGAATTAAACTGAATTGCCAGCATATCTACTTGTGTGTGTGCATGTGTGTGTATCATCGGGCTGTGTATAGGAAATGTATAAGGTCATTGCTTACAAAAACACGGTATGTTGGGTAAATATGTGGAGATGACATACCTCTGAGAGAAAGACATTTGCTTCTTTACCTCCGAGTCCCCCTTTCCTAGTGTGCAGGACAACTTTTGAGGACTGGGGATAATAGAGTATCATTTGCATGTGGAAGCCCTTTAAGAATCAAGTCTGGAAGCTTCCACAGGGGGACCTTTTCAGATACCCAGAAGGAAAGAACAGGGAGATGGCAATGGAAGGGTAGCTATGGTGGTTTTCAGTGGAGCAGGGGCTGATCAGGGCAGAGTACTTCAGCTAGGCACCTCCCTGGTAGCCTGCAAGTCACCACTTTCTGCAGCTGAGAACCAGGAATGCTATTGGGGAAGAATCTTCCCTGGGTCATTAGAGGATGGGCACAGGGCCAGGCACCCAGGGAGAGCCCAATGCTTGTCTGCATCCCTCACCTCCATTCTGTCTTCACTTCCTATATTCTCCACCTTCAGTTGGGTTCATCCCTAACTTCAGGCAAATCACGACCTCCACCATTCATATTTTGGCTGAGTAGTAAGAAAAGTGAAAATATTCATAATACTGAAAAAAGCACAACAGTAATCAAAGATACCAAGATACATTAAATAAATTACTAATTTATCAAGGTAAATCAACCAGTACATAATAGTTCACAGCATCAAATCCTGGTCTTCTGACTGAAAAACCTCTGTTTCTAAGGTGAGTGTACTTCTGTGTTAGGACTGAGGCCAACAGAGGTAAGGGACTAAGCCCAGGTCCTGTGGTCAGTTGATGACTCTGGAACTGGACATTTGTTTGATGACTTCTGTCTAGCTGACCTGTGCCTATTCTCTGCTCTCCTGTACTAATCCTTCCTTGGGGGTTCAATAAGAAGTTACTTCTGGTCAAACTAGAATTTGAAAAAGGACACCAGAAAGTGTGAGGAAATAGGAAGTGATGAGATGGAACCAAAGTTTACTTCCTGATGCCTCATTTCCAGATAGTTTTTCAAATTTCCTATTTAATAGCACATAGGAGACAAGGTTCCCAGGTGGCAAAAGTGGTAAAGAACCCACCTCCCAGTGCAGGTAGACATAAGAAACTTGGGTTTAAAAAAAAAAGAAACTCGGGTTTGATCCATGGGTGGAGAAGATCCCCTGGAGAAGGAAAAGGCAACCCACCCAGTATTCTTGCCTGGAGAATCCCATGGACAAAGGAGCCTGGTGGGCTGCAGTCCATAGGGTTGCACAGAGATAGACACAACTGAAGTGACTTAGCACGCATGCACAAGGTGTAAGGTGGGCCAGAAGTAATACATCTGAAAGTCCCATTGTATATGAGCTGTTCTTTGAGGCTTTCTCCTTTTCTTCTAACAAGTCTAGAAGTAGGCAGCTATAGTCCTGTTGTACAGATGGTCAACCTCAGACTGATGGAGAATGTAAAATTTCCAGGGTCAGATGTCTACCCTTTGCCCTCTGCACAGGCCAACCAGCAGCTCCATTTTAGATGATGGATTTCTAGGGGCTTAAAGACTGATAGTGGAAAACTCACCTGATGTGTAATCAAGGTTGTGTCATGCTCCCTATTAGACATGAAGATGATAATGGGAATGAAGGCTTACATCCTGGGCCAGGAGGAATGGGTGTGGGGGCTACAATGATAAGCTGATTCTTGAGGTGCTGAACTGAACCCAGGAAGCAGCACAAGCTGTTACTCTTTGGAAAGAGGACCTGAGTTGTAGGATATTAACATTTTCACAACTACTATATGAAATATGTTTTACATTTTATCTCATTCAACCCCAATCTCTATTCAAAGCTAATATGCTCTTACAAACAGTGAGAAAGAGAGTTTTTTGTGTGAATTTTTAAAATTGAAATACAACTGATATACAATATTGTGTTAGTTTCAGGTGTACAGTAAAGCAATTTGGATATATATATATATATATATATATGTATTAGATTATTATCCATGCATTTTATAAATTATTGAATATAATTTTCTGTACTTTACTGTAATTCTTTATTGCTTATCCTTTTTGTGCATAGTACTTTGTATCTGTTAACCCCAAATTTCTATTAATATTTTGTCCTTGTCCACTCCCTGTCCCCTTTGGTAATCATAAGCTCAGTTTCTGTCTTGTGAGTCTGTTTCTGTGTTGAATATAGATTCATTTGTATTATTTTTAAGATTCAACATGTAAATGATATTGTATAATATTTAATTTCTCTTTTTTACTTACTTGACTATAATATTTTTAGGTCCATCTATGTTGCTTCAAATTGTAATAAGAATGCAAATTGTCATTCTTTTATGACTAATTGTCCTCTGTATGTGTGTATTATATCATGTTAAGCATGTCATCTGTTGATGGGTTCTTGTGTTGTTTATGTGTCTTGGTTATTGTAAATGGTGCTGCTATGAACATCTGGGTACACGTATCTTTGCAGGGGGGGTACATGTATCTTTGAATTACACTTTTCATTTTTTTCTGGTTATATACCCAGAATTGGGATTTCTGGATCATATCATAGCTTTATTTGTACCTTTTTCAGGAGCTTCCAAACCATTCTCTATAGTGGCTCCACCAGTTTACACCACAACCCACAGTGTATCAGGGTCCCTTTTCTCTATACCCTCTCCAGAATTTATTATTTGTAGACTTTTTGATGATAGCCATTCAGACCCATGTGAGGCATAACCTCATTGTGATTTTGACTTGCATTTCCCATATATTTAGTGATGTTGAGCATCTTTTCCTATGCATCTTGGCCATCTGTTTGTCTTTGGAAAAATATTTAGATCTTCTCCCCTTTTTTCATTGTGTTGTTTATCTTTTGTTATGCATACTGTGTGTGTGCTAAGTCACTTCAGTTGTGTCCTACTCTTTGCAAACCTACGGACTATAGCCCACCAGGTTCCTCTGTCCATGGGATTCTCCAGACAAGAATACTGGAGTGGATTCCATTTCCTTCTCCAGGGTGTCTTCCCTACCCAAGGATGGAACCTGCGTCTCTTATGCCTACCTGCATTGGCAGGCAAGTTACTTACCACTGGCATCACCTGGGAAGCTGTATATTTTGGATATTAACTCCTTGACAGTCATGACGTTTCAAATACTTTTCTCCCACTCCACAAGCTGTCATTTCATTGTTCCTGGCTTCCTTTACTGTTCTAAAGTTAGGTCCCATTTGATTATCTTTGTTTTAAATTGCTTTGCCTTGGGAGACTGATCTAAGTAGATATTGGTATGATTTTTTGTCAGAGAGTGTTTTGCTTAACTTCTCAGAATTCTGAGAGTTCATGGTGTCATGTTTATATTTGGGTCTTTAAACCATTATAAGTTTATTTTGTAAATGGTGTGAGAGAGTGTACTAATTTCATTGATTTACATGTAGCCATCCAGTTTTCCCAACACCACTTGGAGAGAGTGCCTTTTCTCCATTGTATATTCTTGCCTCCATTGTTGAAGATGAATTGACCATAGGTGGGAGGATTTATCTCTGCTCTCTCTATTCTGTCCATTGATAAATATATGCCTGTTTTTGTGCCAGTACCATTTGCTTCTTCAATGAGTGTAGTTTTATAGTATAGCCTGAAGTCTGAGAGGGTTATGCCTCCAGCTTTGTGCTTTTCGTCAGGATTGCTATGGCAATTATGGGTCTTCTGAGGCTTCATATAAATATTTGAATTATTTGTTCTAGTTCTATGAAAGTGTAGCATCTTTTTTGATTAGAATTGCATTAACTCAGATGATCCCTTTGGGTAGTATGGCCATGTTAACAATATTAAGACTTTCAATCTAAGAGCATGGGATAACTTTTGATTTCTTTGAATTTGAATCCATTTATTTTGTCAATGTTTTAGAAGTTTTACCTCCTGGTTCAGTTTATTCTTAGATTTTTTATTTTATTTTGATGTTTTATTTTTGATGGCATTTTAAATGGGATTGTTGTTTTTTACTT